CTACAGTCAATCATCGTTAGTAATAAATGTTGACTATTCCCAGAGGTTGGAAATGCATTGTAAAAATCTGGTCACACACGTGTGTGTGTGTGTGCGTGTATATGTGATGGTGTAAAATTGTTTTTCTGTGGATTGCAGTCTAAAAGGTTGAAAAACCACTGATCTAATCCACCTACTTCATTTGAAAGGTGAGTCTGAGAGATGTTAAATAATGCACTAGGATACTCAGCTGGTTAATGGCGAAGCCGGGATGAAAAGTCAATTCCCCAATTCCTCAGCTAGTGTGTTTCATCAGGGGGTTTGTTGGAAGTAAACCTCTGGGGGGAAAAAAAGAGGAAAGATTTGGGCTTAATAGATGCTTTTATGGAGTAAAAGGGGCAACTGGACGTTGGCACAAGTGATGGTATCAGTAGTTCTGGGCTCTCTATGTATCTTCTAACCCAAGCCAAATTAAATTACTTATTGAACAGTGTGCACACTGTACATTTAGGCTATTCAATCTTTTGCTTGCCATTATCTCTCCAAAATAATGACCAAGTGATGCCTACACAGTGTTCAAATTGGACTGTCATCAGAAGTCTTGAGTGTTTATCTCCTTCCTAAGAAAGTTATACCAGGCAGGACAGGTGTGGAGAATAAGATGATTGATGGCCACCTAGACTATTGCCATAAGGCATACTAATACAGGTTGGCCTTTGCTATAAGGGTAGAAGCAACACATTTGATACTGAGAAGTAGAACATTATTACACCTTAAATTATGGTGGCCTATTGGGAAAGCAAGGCAGCAGCCAGGCTTGTCTGATCCACACAGGAGCTATGTGGTCTTATGGTCCATCAGCACTAAAGGCTAAGTTGATGGGGCAACCATTGCATGCCACACTCATTCATTCCTTTAGCACTGTGGGCTGTGACGTTAAGGGCACCGTGAGGACTGGCCCTCTGCTCAACAAGTCTTTCCTCACAACAGGTGGGCTAATTTGAGAGGTCTATTAAAATACATGTATATTCCTGTGGTTGGGGCAAGTTTGTTACATTAACCGAAGGATGTAAAGGCATACAGTACTAGGTTTCTTCATAAGAGCAGAATATGAGAGAGAGTAAGAGAGTGAGTGAGTCTAGCCCGGAAATTCAATGAAGGCTGATGGAAGGACTTCAAGGAGAAGAGAGAAAGAAGCTGTGTCCTCTTCCCAGTGTTAATGGTAGCCCAGAGCTTCTCAGACTTGATCATGCCTAGAAATCCTCTGGGACCTTGTGAAGATGCCGACTCTGGTGCGAGAGATCTGAGGGAAGCCTGAGATACTGCATTTCTAACAAGCTCCCAGGCGGTGCTCCAAGTCTAAGAACCACACTTGGAAAGCAAGGCTTTATCCTCATTTCGGCCAGATAGTTCTGTGCCCTGGTACTCTTTTCAAAAAGAGACAAAGTAGAATTAGACTTTGTTTGTCTCTCCTCCTGCTTCTGCTTTTAAAGATGTCATTTTTATGTATAAACATGACTAATCTCTAAACAGACATATTTGAGATTTGTCATCAAACAGGAAGTATAGAAGTAGAGGCTTAAATTTTTATTTGCAGGAGGTCAATAGGTGTTGCATGTTTATTTTAAAGACAACAGTAATTATAAATGTCATGATCTTATCTCTAGAATAATGGAATATGATTGTGAGTAAAAGTCAGTTTATGATAATCAGTGTTAATGAGAATGAAAGATATCTTGTTCTTTTAAACATGTAATCCTTTAAAGGAGGATAAGGGACTTTCCATCATGGCAATGTCTTATTCACACTTTTCTGCTGTAGTTATTTAATTGAAATATTAATCTAATCTTACAGACATGAGTAAATATACCAAATTACCTTTTTGCTTTACAGACTGCTCTCTCCCCCCAGCCCCAACTTAACCAGGCAAGTTTTATTCTGAATTTTTTTAAACGATATGGTGAGAACAAAATAAAGAAGCTTCTTTTTGGATAGGCAAGCACTAAAGTAAAATTTAAAGTATTAAATGCAAATTAAAGCATTAGGAAGGAATATTACTTAATATATAATGTTTTTATTCAAAATTCAAGATTTATAAGTGAAAGGTTTCAAGTTTGGCAGCAAGAAAAGAAGAATCTTGCCGTATATAGAGTCTTTAGGGGTAAAGACTCGTGCCATTTATAGTTTCAAGTATATGGCACATTGATTAGACGTTTATACAGTTTATAAAATGAACTCCTTAATTACTCCTTCTCTCCTCTGGTTTTGCACCTAGCCAATATATTAATGCTAACTGTATTCCCTATGCCATGCTCCCCATCCCCGTGACCAGCTACCAACTACTAATTTAAACTTCTTTAACCTTTCACCCCATTCTCCCAGCCACCCAATTTCCCCCTCCTCTCTGTCTGTCATCAAATTGTTCTCTATATTTGTGAGGCTGTTCTTGATTAGTTTATTCTTTTTGTTCCTTAGATTCCACATATAAGCGAAATCATATGGTATTTATCTTTCTCTGTCTGACTTATTTCACTCAGCATAATAACCTCTAGTTCCATCCATGTCATTGCAAATGGTAGGATTTCATTTTTTTAATGGCTGCGTAATATTCCATTGTATATATGAACCATAACTTTTTTATCCAAACATCTATTGATGGGCATTTAGGTTGTTTCCATGTCTTGGGTATTGTAAATTGTCCTTTAGCTTATTTTTGTCTGGGAAACTCTTTATCTGTCCTTTGACTCTAAATGATAGCTTTGCTGGATAACGTATTCTTGGTTGTAGATCCTGGGTTTTCATCACATTGACTATTTTGTGCCAAACCCTTCTGTCCTGTGTAGTTTCTTTTGAGTAATCAGCTGACAGTATTATGGGTGCTCCCTTGTAGGTAGAAAGCTGTGCAGATTTTAATTTTAGTTGGGAAATCTTGGTACAATTCTTGATTTAGATTATTAATAAGTATCAGAGCAAAAGAACAGAACTTTTTTTCTTCTGATAATGCACATTTTTGTTAATTTTTTTAATTTTTATTTTTCAATTAGAGTTGACATTCAATATTATTTTTACATTAATTTCAGATATATAGCATAGTGGTTAGATATTTATGTTAATGTTTTCAAAGAGGAAGAGTTTTTGTGGGTAATTTTTTCTCTTTAGAACGTATTGAATTTTCTATTTGCCACCATAACAATTTACCACAAATTTAGCAGCTTAATGAACATCAATGTATTGTCTTACAGTTCCATAAGTCAGATTCTGACATGGGTCTCACTCACCAGACTAAAATCAAGGTGTTGGCAGGGCTACATTTCCTTCTGTAGGGTCTGGATAGGATCTGTTTCCTTACCTTTTCCAGCTTCTAGAAGTCACCTGCATTCCTTAGCCTTTTCCTTCTTTAAATGGCAAAGACGAGTCAAGTCCTTCTCACATCACACCACTCCAGTCAACCCTTCTGCCTCATTCTTCCTTGTAAAAGATGCTGTGATTACATTGGGCCTATCTGGATAATTCAGGATACTTTCTCAATTTTCCTATTTTATTATCAGCTGATTAGCAACCTTAATTCCTCTTTGCCATGTAAAACATAACATATTCTCAGGTTCCAAGGATTAGGATATGGACTCCTTGGAGAATATGTTGTTGGGGAGGGAGGGCTATTATCCTGCCTACTACAGAATGTCATCAATATTTTAGATCTAAGAAAGGATTGCAATTTAGGTACAGGTATCATTTTTGTAGTGTCATCACAATTATGTTCAGATTGCATTTTTCACTGATGAAAATTGCTGAGGCTCTTATGAAGTGAAATATTTTCCCCTTCAGTTGCATTTGCATTGATTCCTGTATATTCCCTTTCCAGTAATGGAAATCTTGAGGTATAACTACTCTGTGGGATTAAATGGACTATTTGATCTCTGGGACCAATCCAAAATTTATTGAAATGAAGATGGTTATTTGAGATAGCTTAGCAAAGTGTGTCTCAAATGGGGCAATTTGCTCCCTCAGGGGATATTTGGCAATGCCTCAAGACATTTTTGATTATCACAATTGGAAGGTATGTACTACTGGCATCTAGCAGGTGGAGGCCAGGTGGAGGCCAGGTGAAGGCATTGTGTGATGCTCAACATCACACAATGCACAGGACAGGACCTACAATAAAGAATTATCTGATGTCAATAATGCCTAGCTAGAGAAATCTTGGTTTAGCAAGATGGCAACCTAAACCTTCCCTCTCCCTTTTTAAAGGCTAATTCTTTATGTTTCAAAGTTGAGTTAGATAATATACTGATTATATAATGGGTCAGCATTATCTAATGGATCGGTGTACACCAATCTTATGAAAAATTCAAAACGCAAGACCTACTGCTTGGAGTAAATGAGTCATCATCTTCATTGGGTGATCAGGAATCATGTCTGGTTTCCCTCTGTCTGTAGTTCCTAGTACAGTGTTTGTCAACACCAAATGCTCAGGAAGTACTTTAACAAATAAAAATTACAGTGCATTAAAGGATTTGTTTATGAGTTCCTTTTCTAGTGAATAAGATGTTTTCCTTCTGTATACCTAATATTGCAATTTCATAGAAGAGCGACCTTGAAATCACTCTCACTAGTGCTAAGAACCCAAAGTAGCCTGTTTCCTGAGATTTTAATAGAAATCATCTGGAGAGTTCTCAAAAAATTTTATGTTAGAATTGAAAGTAAATTTAATTAAAGGCCATTGAGAGACCAAAAATCTCCAACTTTATCCTCTGCATTATGGTTTTACATGATAGTCTATCTTTTCAGGCTTGGTCACACACTATGAAAGAATGGCTTTTGTTTTACTGGTGGCAAGGCGAGGTTCATAACCACCAGCTTCACACCATAAGCCTTTGGGGTCTTGTACCAATAATGAAAAATCTGTTGTGAAATATAATCTACTGAAAGAAAATAAACATGACTTGGAGGGTTAATCAATGAAATTGATACCCTTCTCTCTTGGTTCTCATTTCTGCTTTTCTTCTTTATCAATATTTCAGGTGTCCCTGGCTCCATGCCAAATGCATCATGGACTGGTAACCTCAGAGCTGTAAAGTGGATTGACATGGAAGATAAACACGGAGGCTGCCATGGTGAGGCATTCATTTCACACTTTGAGGTCACACTGCTTATTGCTGTTGGCATGAAGGTAGTTGTGGAACACAGGGTTCTCATGGAGAGAACTGCTGGTATATTTAGACCCATCTGTGAGTTACTAATAGAATAGCTAGGGGCTTTAAGACACAGTCCTTGAAAAGTAAATTTAAGCATCTCACAGACATTTTTCAGCTCATAATTACCTGGGGAGATGTAGAGGTAGGTTCAAATTATAATGGTACTTTTTTCTTGCTAGTTTCTGCTTTCTTATTGTTTATTCCTCTTTCTGTTCCTTTTGGGAGTGCAGCAGTTACGAGGGGAAAGTGGTCACGGTGAAAAGTGATGTCATATTTTCACCATGGAGCAAGCTGGACCCCTATCCCCTCACGTCAGCCACTGCTCCCTCCATAGACAGGCTTCCAGTCTGGAGGTGTTTGCTACAGCTCTGGAATAATGGCAGGTGACACTAATAAGAGAGTTTTCTCCTCCAATGAACAAGAACTAGAATCCCTAAGTAGTTTTATTTCTATAGAACCGTATGAAGAAGGATTTTTATCAATCTTGATATATATTTCATTTAAACTGTCGCCTTGTACATAGTGAGCATGTGTATTTGTTTGCTAGGGCTAGCATAGCAAAGTAACGCTTATACGAAGGAAATTTATTTACTCACTCTCCTGGAGGCTGGAATTTTGAAATCAAGGTATCAGCAGGTTTGATTTCTCCTGAAGCCTCTCTCCTTGGCTCATAGATGCTCTCTTCTTTCTGTGTCCTCATGTGGTCCTCCTGTGTGTATCTGTGTCCTAATCTCTTATAAGGACACCAGTCATAGTGTATTAGGGCCTATCCATATTACCTTATTTTAACTTCATTACCTCTTTAAAGGCCCTATCTCAAATACAGTCACAGTTTGAGGTAGTGAGGGTTAGGACTTCAACATGTGAATTTGGGGAAGGACACAATTCAGCCCATAATAGCACACAAATAATTTATTCAGTGAGTGAGTGATTCAGTGACTGAATGAGTGAGTGAATATGGAAATTTGACCTTTTTTCCCGCAGTAACAAGGCTTTGCCTCTTCCACTATTCTACTCATTCTACAGCTTTCTCGTCGGTCCATCTTATCTACACCTAATGTTTCAGATGACAACCTCCAGATTGCTTCTTTTCTGTAGCTTTCCATCACACACAACCTCCTTCTCATGTGTTTCTCTTGAGAGTCCCCTCCCACGGTGGACAGCAACATCCTCACATCACTGTACAGAAATCTCATCTATTCTTAAGCATATTCAATTTTTACCTTAATCAGCCCACATTTTCCCCAGGGGACAGCACATGCCATCTGTCTGCATCGTCATCATGGCCTATCTTCCTACTAGAAGGAGGATGAAGAAGAGGTTGCTTTGCTCTTTGATCTCCTGGGACTTCTTTAAAAACTGGACCACCATCAGTCAGGTCCCAATATTTGGGATAGTTGTCTTCTCCACGTCCTTCCATAACCCCTATCACCTACCCTCATCTGCTTCTCTACTTTCTCTCCAGCTGCAACACTTAAAGGCTTCAACATCCACAACAGGGACCCATGTGACATCATTCTTTTGCAGCTCTAGCCTTCCTCTACCACAGAAGCTCCCACTGCACTGTGCAGCAGCCCTGCCTCACTCCAAGGAGAGCCTTATTTCAGCTTCCTTTCATCACCTCTATCCATGCCCTATCCCAGGAGAGAAGGTAGAGGATAGTCAGGTTTGCATTTTTGTAGGAACCTTTGCTGATCACATGACAGGTGTGGGCCATGAGAGTAGCCCCTAACCAGGAACCTACATTGGGTACAAAGCTTGGGTAGCCCTATCCCCTCTAGACAAATGTCTCATTTTTCTTCTCTTGGTACCTGTTATGCCAGTGAACATCGGAAAGCCTTATCAGGTTCAGAGCATAAAAAATTGTTTGTCCCCCAAACCACTATAGAGGAAAAAGAGAAAGACATAATCCAAACCAACAAGTCAGTAGTACAAATCTGAACCTTTTCCCCTTGGCTGTAATAGGATTTGTTCCAAACCCGGTGTGGGTGTCTGCTTTATGAGCCCTCTCAGCATCACAGAGCACCATTCCAGCTCCATGGTCTTGAACTTAGAGCACCCATCTCTGATTACAATCTCTTTGTCACCCTACTAATTTCCTTCACCAATTCATGTACTATATATGTTTACTGTCTTTCTCCCCAGAACAAAATAGACACTCCAAGAGGGCTAGGATTTTTCACCAAATTGTTCATTGCTATATCCGCACACCTAAAATATGTTGTTGTTGTTGTTGTTGTTGTTGTCATTGTTGTAGTTTTACGCGCACGCGCATGTGTGTGTGTATGTGTGTGTGTGTGTGTGTGTGTGTTTTAAATCGGAGTTTCAAGAGGTTCAGCTTTTCTAGTTTCTTCCTTTTACTGGTTTCCTTCCCAGGATTCTTTGTCCAGTCTGTGTACCCTATCAGCCATTCCATGATGTTTTAACTAAGATTTTAGATTCCCTTGTCATTTGACCCTACAAGGCTGATCCTTACGCTTAATCATTACCACCATCTGCTTTTTGCCATTTGTGTTTCCCAAGAAGAATAATGCTGGAGAGTGATTACAGACCAGTCCTAAAACCATCTGCTATAGGGACTTGCCATCTAATTTCAGCTAGATGCTCCTGGATGCCTATTTATTCTTTAATTTATCTCATTATTTTCCTGGTGCCCTTCCCAGCATATACCTTTTCAGCTTTCCTGCTCATCTTTAAGCTATTAATCTTATGCTGAAACAGCCTTTTCACTCTCAAAAGATGATAATTTCAACCCTAGGAAGAACTTTTGAGACATTTGATCAAAATGTCCTAATCAATTCCTTTTTCACGTCATCCTTTCCTTCATCTTAGAGTATTTCGGATACATTTTCTCATTGTTCCTTCCTGTTTCAGAGGGAATGTTACCCATCCTCACAACCAAGACTACCATCTGTGGTCTCAGTTTGTGTGGGTCCCCCTAAATTATCCCCTTACTCTCTTGCATTTTCAGTGTCTTCCCTTTTGCTGGTTCTTTTCTTTCTCTCTGCAAGGATGTATTTGTTACCTCTATCCCAAAGACCAAGTTGTCTGTGCAACCTCTGTTTGATCCAGACTGAAATATTCTCTCCTGATCACTTCCATTTTCTTGAAGATGGGCATGCTGCCTATGCATTCACCACCAAGTTAGTCTTAAACTTCTAATTCAGTTATTCTTTAACTTCTCATAACTCTGGCTTCTTTCCTCAGTGGTTTCACTCTTTATTGTACTTCCTCTCAGCTATGTTGAATTAATCATCCAATCCTGTCAATCTTTCTGTACTCTGTCTCAGTATCCTTTCTTTCCCATTCATAGCAATCATTAATTTCAAACGAGCTCTCTGGTTTACATTACATTATTACTGTAGTCTCTTTTTTGATTTCTAATGTACCCTGCAAAGTTCTACAACATTAATCTTGCTAAAATCAATTTTGTCATTTGATTCTTCTATTCAAAAATCTTCAAAGACTTTCTATAATTATGGGATAAAAAAGTCCCAACCCTTTAGTATGTTTTAAGTCAGTTATTCACAGTGGCTCAACTATATGCCAAGCAATCTCTTAAAAAGAGTTCTAACTTCCTACCATTCTTGCTTCTA